ATGAATAATCTACACCAGGGCTGTGTGTGGCTGTGGAACGATGTGTATTTGAGGCGAGTTTGCAGTTGTAAGGCAATCAATTACTTCCATGACTTGTCGTAAGTACTTATTCCCAGCTTACTCCCTCATGGCAGTGCCAGGTACACCAGGATGCCTCCCTCTCCATAGGTTTCCCAGAGTCGGGCTGTCAGCAGGGAAAGTCAATAACAAGTACAGCAGACGCTCAACAGACAGAGACAGCAGGGAGGTCTGCTTCTGGGGGTTAATATGAGACGAGAAAGGGGTGGGTTTGGACTTCAAAAAAGAAAAACTGTAAAGGAAGAATCATGGGGTCGAGGTCAGAAAGAGAGAAAAAGAGGGCGGATGGAAAGTTGTTAATAATGAATCCAAGGCAAACAGAACAAAGTCATTTTATGATAGATCAATAATGCAAAGATTAACTTTAGACACAAGGCTTGATCAAAAGAGAGAGAGAAAATGAATAATAAAATAATCGAGTCAGGAGTCAAAAGGTTTGAAGGGGCACTTTGTTGTATCAGATGTTTAATTATTTATTGATTGCGTCCTAAAAAGGGAGAGATATAAAATATGATACGGGAATTTTCATATTGTTACTTTATTGTTAATAGACTACATGCACATATACAAATTTCCCATGGCGTAAAAGACATTTCATGAAACTATTTTCTGTAAACTATAAACAATCTACAATTTGTAGAAACACTGTACAGCAATACAACTTCTGTTACAAAACTACTCAATATGTATCCATAGTTTGGTTTTGATGGCTATTTACAAAACTATTCATAGAAAATATTCAATAATGAGATTTATGCTGTAGGTATAATTTTGGGAATTTAGTATATGATTCTGCTGTGCTTATCCAGTTCATTTGTTTTACCCAGAAAATTGTATTGATGTTTTTATTCATGTAAAATCAGATTTATTGTCTTTTTTTTTTTTTTGCCTGGTACTAAACAGTATATTCTGTCTTAGCATCAAGTCTCTGGTCTGGGTTATGCTTTCCTCTTCCTCATATGTGAACTCTTCATCTAAAGTGCAACCGTGAGCACTTTCTGGATCTAATGCCTGTGAACTTACCTGTAGCCCTATCAGACATCTTGCAATTCTCGCTGATGTGAAGAAAGGCTAATCAGTGTTTATATAACAAGATCTGTTAAACTGCAAAATAACTACAAAAATGGCCAATAAATATATATATATAAAAAAAATTGTATTTTCTAACTGAAATCAGAAGAAAGCACTGCAAGCATTTGTTTGAGTCTCCTTGGTGTTGCATTTTTTTTTCAGACTTATGAAAAAATATAATAAATATATCTAAAAATATAACACTTGACACAGGAACTTACTGTCTTCAGGCAAAATCAAATTTTAGCTTGAGATGAAACACAAAATCCATCAATATCTGTGCACATAATATTTAACACATGACCTGGAATACAGCATCCCAGTTATAAATAATTTTTAAAAAAAAAAAAGTATTGCAAGGGGTGAACGTTGTTATGGTTGGCATGGCCCATTAGCTCCTTTTGCTACAGTACATGTTAGCAAAAAGTATGTTTCTTTCCTGATGACCTGTTCGAAAGTATAAGATTACTGTATTAATCAGAAAACAGAAAGTTGAGTGGAAGGAAAAAGTGTGGAAGATTTGAGTTGAATGACTGAAATAAATGAACTTTTCCACGACATTCTAATTTATTGAGATGCACCTGTACAAGATATTCTCTTAACTTTAACCAATCCAAAAAAATCTATTGGGATTTTGTGTTATTGGCAGAAAACACAGGCAGAAAATATATTGTCGCCTATATGGAAAGCAGCCATGGCAATAAGTAAACTGTCACACTAAATAAGGACATACTGGACATGCAGAGTACCTTTTCATTTTCCACATTTGTCACAGCAGATCATCATCTTATAATGCAAATTAATATGAATCATGTTTAGTGTGGGCTGAGAAACATCACTCAAAAATTACAACTCGTTTACAGTACAACTGTATGAAGCTCTACAGTTGAAAGAGGGTCCATGAAGAAAGTTATAAGATGGTAAGTCAAAGTCTGTTTTCAGAAACCCAGATATTAAACTATAGGTACATCAAAGGGTGTTCAAAATGTAAAAACAGAAAGAAAAAAAAAGTAGACAAATGTTGTGCAGTAAAAACAGGCAGGCAGAATCTTTAAATGGCAAAAGTGACAAACTTTCTTCTACAAAAAGGGCACTTGGACCAATAAGGATGAAGGGGTGGGGTTTAAGTCACAACTCTGTAGAGTCGTTCACATGAGCTTCAGGTGCCTCAGCAAAAGTGTAAGAGCTAGAAAAAGCGTTAAGCATTAGAAACTGTTTGAATGTTAATTGACAGCTAATGGTTTCATTAGCAGTGGGGAAACTCTGGATTTCCTGATGTTCTGCAAAACATAATAAAAGAAAAATAGTAAACACTGATATAATAATTTTGCACAGTGCTGCCAAAATGGCAAATTGGTGCACCAGCAATAATTAATAGGATTTTTTTTTTTTTTTTTGAAGATGCTTATTACAGTTTATTTGATGGTTGGGACTGAGATTAGCAAGAGATAAACACATACATATACACAAACTATATAAAGAATACATTTATTATATACAAATATAAAAAAAGAATGAGCAGTGAATGGATAAAAAAAAACTGGAATGGGATATTTTTTCCTCTTTATTCAAATACTGACATTGAGTCATAAAACAGTATTAATACTGATTGTGCAATATAATTTAATATAATATACTGTAACTAATGCCACACTGTCCAGAAATGTTTTTGTTCAAAATATAACGGCATATTTTTTTTAATTATCTAATTAAAATAATCTATTGTTCTCAAAGTAATCTATTGTTGCCGCAACATGTTATCATGTATCCACAAGTTCATATGTCATGGCCACAACATTACTAAGTGAGCCAAACCAGTACCCAGTACACATTTCTAGCATAATTTTCGGGCAAATTTAGTTTCAGTGCTTTCAATAAAAAATACACTTTTGATAAACTTTGCATTCAACCTGTAACATTTCTTAAATTTGACGTCTGTTAAAGTTTATGTGGGTTATTTGGTTAATAATACTACTGACTCCAACTGGTGATACACAACACCAGCCTCTCTTCACACATTAGTTGGGTAACTTTATGTTGTTTACTTCCTCAGCTCCCGGTTTTGCACAATGCCACATTATTAAATTACATGACAATTTGGCATTTCATTTTGGGATGATTTCAAAGTATCTTCCTAAATGCTTTCAAGAACACAAATGCTCTTTGACTGAGTAAAAGGGGAGTTCATATATACTGAACTTGTGTCACTTCACAGTAAGAGTTTCCAAGGAAGCAGCTGCGGTATTCCAGACAATCTGGCCTTGTTTGTGCTGCACTTGATGTTGCAATTACATAGTGTTTTCTCCAGGGGGCGACAAGTCATTTCTAAAAGATATGCAACCTGAGCCATATGCCTTCAAGTCTTTTGAGATATTCCCATAGAAAACAAGAGATCAGGATACGAGTTCCCCGGAATGAGAACAATGGAGATAAAAAAGTTGACAAGGCAGGAATCCCCACCCTTTTAATGTAATCCTAACAGGCATGATTACATTAAAGGATTACATTTCTCACACTATCTCTCATCCTGTCTCTTAATTCCTCTTTATACTGTCATTTAAATGCATGTTTAACTACTATTTGCTAACTGAGGAAAGGTTCTAACTCACCATGTTATTTACTACTGTGTGAGCCTGGCGAGAGTGACATGGTGTTGGTGGTCCAGGTGAGATCCTCTGTGATTACATTAAAGGATTACATTTCTCACACTATCTCTCATCCTGTCTCTTAATTCCTCTTTATACTGTCATTTAAATGCATGTTTAACTACTATTTGCTAACTGAGGAAAGGTTCTAACTCACCATGTTATTTACTACTGTGTGAGCCTGGCGCTATACAAGCACACACATGCCTGTCAACTCTTTTGCATTAAGAAAACACAATATGAACTTGTGCCAAAATTCATGTATGCTATGATAATGTGTTATGTAATCAATCTGAGCATGTAAAGTATTCCCAGAGTAGAGGTCAGAGGTCCATGAATGGACTCTTTTCCACTCTCAGAAGCCTGTGTTTCCACAGCCATTACCCTGCAAAGGAAAAAGGAGGGAAAATTACATCATGGAGGCACGTATAACAATGCAGAAAGAAGGAAATGGGAGCAATGAAGACATTCTGTGTTTGTAAGAGGCAAACTCCCAAGAAAATGACAAGGAGGTTTCACACAATTTTTTAAGATTTAATATTTGATTTCATGCTAGCAGTGGTTTTATTGTTCACTATATTTCCCTGCATAGTGAAATGTAAACGCAAATATACTTTTCCAGTTCTGCTGCTAAGTTTCGCCATGCTCCTGCTACAGCTGAAGGCAGGAAAAATGGCTCCACTCACACGGCCTGAGAACTGTTTGTGTGACATTTTTTCCAGAATAAACTTAAAATGGCTACAACTGTGAAAAAAGACTCTTACAAAATAAATATAGGCAAACATATACACATATTCTTCTGCAAATCTACCCACATAGAAAACTCCTCTAAAGTGTTGCTTAGCAAATCTTTATTTTAGGGGAAAACACACACCTTTGTTCTATCTCCCTTTCTGTATCTCTTTCATGCTCTCTCTTTATTCACAGATGAGCTCATTCTTCAAACATGACTCTTAATATACTATTGCTTTCTTCAATATAAACAGAACAAAACCTAGGGAGCCAGAGAGAGAGTTAGGGGGAGGTTCTACATGTGGAGAGAGTTGCTCATGTTCCAGCGTACACACCCACATACTCGCACTTGACACATGCAAACACATAACTCCCTCACAAATGGGCCAGGCTAGCTGCTATGGAAACCTAGCTCCGCCCCAATAGGGTGTGGACAGGCTTTTTAAGCTGTGGGGAAGCCTCTACACGGCTCTTTCAATCGCACCAGAGAGGGAGGGCGAGACAGAGAGAGAGAGAGGAAAGAGTGAGTGTGGCTATCTTCAAAAAGGGGTGGGAACGTTGAACCTGGAAGCTGAAAAGTTCTTCCCAAGCCTATAAACAAGAATCAAAGCTGTAAGAACGTGGTGGCACTAAAACCAACTCGGAGGGGAATCCGGTACAGCAAGACGAGCGCGCTTAAAGGTGAGGAAAGTTAAAGAACGAGACCATTTTCCTAAGTAAAGTTATCCGTCAAGACCAAGAGCAGCCTTAGAATGGGAGAAGATGCAGTGCAAGCAGAAAGGAGCAGCATGGCCAGCACACATGAGAACCAGGAGCTGGTGGTGCCAAGCCCCAGCCCCACTCAATCTTCACCCACACATAGCCTCTCACATCTGGGCACCGTCGCAACCAACGCCCCTAGCGGAGAGCCTAGCAGCCCTGGGCCTCTGGCTGGGGGCACCACAGGCACTCTCCCCAGAGATGGAGCTTCACCTACAAGTCAAGTGAATGCCATCACTGTCTTGACACTTCTAGATAAGCTGGTGAACATGCTGGACACGGTGCAAGAGAACCAGCATAAGATGGAGACGAGACAGGTCGAGATAGAGGGGGCGGTGAGAGGCATCCAGAACGATATGACCAAGCTCTCCAAGAGCCACACTTCCACTTCCAACACGGTCAGCAAACTCCTGGAGAAGAGTCGCAAGGTCAGCGTCCACATGAAGGAGGTCAAGGACAAGATGGATAAGCAGGCCGTCCAGGTGAAGAAACTGGAGGCTAATCACGCTCAGCTGATCAAGAGAGACAACTTCAAAGTGCTCATCTTCCAGGTAAATGTACAGTGTGTGTAATGGGGAGCAGTTGGCGGTGGGGTATTTGATGTGCTCAGGTGAGGACGCTGAATGATTGCATTGTGCAGGTGATCGTTGCTGCATGTCGGTGTGCGCTGAACCAAATTCAACTGTCTCCAACTCTGATAACAATAAGGGATATTGCTGTCTTACACAGCTGAGTAGAGTCTAATGAATCTAAATGTCATTTGACTAAATTAAAAGAACAGGTCACATGCCTCCCTCAGGGTGTGTCCATTTCTGAAGCAGGGGAGAAGGGTCATAGTTCAGAGTGTAAAGATGAAAGCAATGCTTAAGAGGGTGTGATGTCACTTAAGGTCATTGTGAGGTGGGGTGGAATGGAAGCAAGATCTAGGTGGTCGCGTCTTATTTCTGTCTCTAATGGATATTGCTTTGGGGTCAAAAACAGACAATATTACCCAAACTTTCGAGTGTTTTTGGGATGGTCAAATCAATGGCTTTTTTTGTGGATGTTGAGCACCTGAAAGCAGACGTCCTTGCGAGTTTTGTACTTGACTCAAAGTATTAATCTCGAATACCCAGGTAGAATTTCAGATATCTTTATATTTCATATAGAAAATCAGCAGGACTCCAAACTAAGAGAGAGCTAGAGAGCTCGAGAGACACTCAATAGGAGAGGCTTGTTATGAAGCTTAGCCAAAAGCTATTATTTAAGGCACAATAGCCTTGAATAGAAGGTGTGTCCAGAGATCAGCTACAGTGCAGCGTAATGTGTATCCTGTTGTCAGAAAACCCGTGCTGATATGTACTATGCTACAGCGGCTAGCTGCTGTTTACTGCAAGACCTACAATCAACCGAATGACTCAGTGATTCCAAAGTCAGAGAGCGCTGAGAGAGGCCTTCCATTTTCCCCTCTCTCTTCCCAGCTGTGTGGTTACTGAAGAAGTACATGATGTAGAGAATGAGAGAGGGCCTAGTGAAATGCATTTTTAGAAAATCAACTTTCCATCTCTGTGCGAAGAGAGTGTTTAAACTAAGATGGGAAGGTACATTTCCTTCGATGAACTAGTGTGAAAACACCCTGTAGGCTTTTACAGTTGCCGTCACAGACATAGTGCTGTTTGTTAAAGCTGGCCAAATATGTGTTGCTTTGGCACCTACCTTGTTTATTTGCAGGGAAATCCACTTGGAGGGTACAATAGTTGAGATTTCCCTCTTTGTCCTAATTATTTTTGGCTCATTACTTGCAGAAAGGGATTTGGTTTGCTGTTTAATTTTCTAAGCATCTGCACAGCAGTCAAGGCATGTCTAGTCAGCGTCTAAGGGAATGTGCGTTAATCCAGCCATGGGGTTCTTGTGGTCTCCTGATCTGTCCTGCATCATAGTTAGGATGGGTGGGACTGTGGTGGACACAGGGGCAAAATGTTCCTAGAGCTTTAACATTTCCAACAAACATGCCTGACAGACCCACACAAACATTCTTGGACAATCCTTGTCTTGTTTTCTTTAATGTTCCTTCATTAAACCCCACTTCTGCTCTCCCTTGGGGTTGCCTGTGTTTGTTTCTAAGGAATGATAGGATCTGAGCAATCCTCAGCTCATTAAACAAACACAACTTCTTCAGGGCAGCCAAAAAACTTTTTCAAGTCACTTCTGCCAAGTGTTTCATATACAGTTGTCCACTACTAAACAAGCCTGACAAAAATGGAAAAAGACGTTCGGGTGAAGTCCTTGTGGTTTCATAAGTCAACAAATAGTTTGTCTTTTAACATTCTCAGTTTTATTTTCTCATCTCTATAGCTACATTCAGGTGTTCACCACACCCTGCCTGCCTGTGTTTTTCACTTTTATCTTCCCCTGCTGCTGTTGGATTAGGGGTGCTTGGCTCCCCCCTTAGGCGGACGTACAGGCAGTAGAGAGAACGCTGTTCTTGCATAAGCAGAAACTCTGGCTCAAACGCTCACATTCCAGAGGTGGAGCGAGTCTCTCCCACTTTGAAAATGATATAAATAGGCCAGTAACCACAATCAATTAGAACTCCATGAGACTTCGATCAAGACATTGGTCACCACAGCCATAAAAGAGAAAAGGAGGACAGAGCTTATAAAGTTAGCTTATGAGGAGACTTCCTGGATTTAGCCAAACATCATTCCATTTGCAATTCTTTTGCATGATGCAACATTCAGTGAACACATTTAACTAATTGTCCGTGTGTTTCTCAAAACCTAACATATGAACTGTGTTATAGCTGCACAACATCTCCAAGTTCTCATTACTTTCAGTGCACAATGCTTCAATTTGCATCATGTTGAAAGCCAAATCTAGAGTAGGAAAGCACAAGATGGAATATTTTTACATCTAGCCCTTCGCTATCACCTAATAAGGCTATCTGTGCCTCTCCAGAGAGAGGGAGAGAGAGGGGGAGAAAAAGTGTGAGTGCAAGAAGGCCTGTAGGCAGAGAGAAGGGAGACAAGAGTGTTTGTTTTCCGTTGTCCATCAAAAAGGCATTATCTCTCTCCAAACTCAGCTTACTGTTAGAGTTCCCACTGGTGCACTGTGGGTAAGATGAAAATGATACAAGACGAGAAAAGTGCTCAGTGCAACTTAAGATTTACAACATAGCTGTTGCTCAGTGATATTCCTAAAACAAAAAATGCTGAAAACACACCACGGTAATGACAAAAGTATAGTTAAACCAAACAAAATCAAATTGCATTGTGATGAAATAACAAAACTGTAATAAAAAAAAATATATACAAAAATTTGTACACGCAAATATTTACACCCCTAGCGGGTAGGTAGCCTCAGGGTCTGACCTGCACCATTCCACTGTACAGGGTTAAATACCGGATGAGCATGTGAAATGTGTTATACGAGAGGAATTCGACATGTTTATGCACATGAGACCAGTAACAACCACTAGGTGCTCATATGAAT